AATTGGAACATCGACTGTGAGTCCGGCCTTTTCGTCCAACATCAGTGCCTGACCTCACAAATGCTCTGCTCTACTGAAGGGTCACAAGTATCCACAGACACACTGCAGAATCTTGTGGCCAACTCCATATTAATGCCATGGTTTTGGAGCAACAATCTCATATAGGTGTGTCAGGTGTCCACATACTTTTCAAAAGGCTGTTTGATTTTATGGTTCTGCTGTCTTTACCACAAAACCATTGTAACCCCCTGTTTTTAAGCCATTCAGTGCTGCTTTAAAGACATTTTTTTGGTAAAGAAGATTCTTTCACTGCTCTAGCGACTGAAGAATCATCTCACCACATTTCTTGGAAAATTTCAAAAGAAAGCAAGGTGTCCCAGAACTTTTGACAGGCAATATGTCTCCACTTTGTCACTGACACCTTCTCTTAGTATATAGAGCCAACCGCAGCTGGGACCTCATGTTTTAGCCACCTGCAGAGCCGTGGGTTGAGCTGGAAAGTAACTCACCCCATCAGGCTTTGCAGTAACCAGGGTTGGGTGGTCAGTGTTTGTTTTGGCTCCCAGAACATACGTCTGGGTTAAAGACATCAGAGAGGGTGTGTAAAAGCCCAACCATGGGCAAGTGGCAGGGGTCACACACATGCATACACACACTCACAGGTTTCTTTTCATATAACGTCAGAATGTGATATATATATATGAGTATATTCAGTGCTGTGTACAAGTCAACGACCACCTTTCATTTATTTAATATCCGGTAAAAATGGCCATTAAGTACAAGTTATTCATTTTTTTTACAGCTTTTTACAGCTTCCATTCTTTCAGGAGACGTGCTTTCAGGTTTTTAAAGAAATCTGCAGGGATATATAACTGAGTGATGTTGAGTTCTGGACTCTGGGGTGGACAATATATTGTTCTGAGGACATCAACAGCTTCTTTGTTTTGCTTTGATTTGCAAATGTACTTTTTTCTCTATTTTCTTCTCTCAGTAAGGGCTTCTTGACAGTTACACATCCTTTCAGACTCATTGTGTTGAGTTGTCTTCTCACAGTGGAAGGATGGACAGAAACAGCTGTGGATTGTTTTTACATCTGAAGCAGCTTGATTTTCTCCTCTGTCTCAAAGATGAAAGCTTTAAGTACGGTTTAACTGATGGTGACAGTTTTGGTGGTTGACCAGGTCTTGCACAGTTGTTGCGAGCCGCACTTTATAATTTTTAATAGTTTCCGAACTCCAGTTTTAGAACCTCCTGTTTTTCATTTATTTTTCTTTTGACTTACCTCCTTCCTTATCTTCTATCTAATATCCTCAAAAATATGTCTGATCAAAAACTTAAGGTAAAAAAACAGTGGGCCTCATTCACCAATATCTTTTTCTTAAATTTGTTCTTGAGAAAGCTCGTAAGAAAAAGTCTACGTCATGACGTGTTCTTAAACCACAGAATTGTTCACACCTTTATGCTCTTCAGTGTGTGTAAAAAGTTGCAAACAAAAATGGAGATACAAAGTGCTTGAGCAACAGCAACATTATGTAAGTACCTATATATGATAATATGTTCCATATTTTCTTCTAATTCTAGAAGACTTTTCTAAACCTGATCCTAAAACTAACCCTAACTTTAACCTCAGTAACCAAAAAGAAGTAGTTTTACTCTTTTGGTTTTAAAAAATAAAACATGGAGCTTTTGGGGAAAAAAAGCAAAAAGCTTGTTGTTCCTATAGGCCAGTTCTGTTTTTCAGGGCTTTTTTTTTAACGTTTCTACACAGCCAGAATATTCTTGTCCTAAAAATCCATGAAAACAAACACACTCATGCACAAGAACACAGAGATCAAAAGTCAAAGGTCATGGCAGAATGTTGTGTGTTTGTTTTATTTTGTGTGTGTGTGTTGGGGTGGGGGTGGTTATGTGGACACCACTATGCAGTTGTCAAGAGTCTCATAGAAAACTGATACGGTTAAACTCTAACACCGTTATTAACACACACACACACACATGCAACGAGATCCACACAAACGCACATACACACACACACACACACACACACACACAACCACACCCACACACACAGTCTAGAACAAATAAGACTGCAGTGATGCACCATAGTTTCAATAACAAATGCAATACAGCAGCTCTTTCCCAGCTTTTATACTGAGGTTAAACAATGAAATGTTGGATTAATATGGATTTATTGTTAAACTCTCATAATAAATTATCCAAACTCCTTCAGATATGTGTTTGTTGTTGTCATACCAGAGCCTTATTAGATTATGTGAAAACGCCAGCTGCCCTTAACACTACAGTGGTCACAGTACTAGAATTTTGATTTTGATACTGATACTAAGAGTAATATCACAATGCTTCACACTAAAAAGATACTATAGCAGAAAGTTAAAAACTGTATGAACAACAAATGCTATTCCTTTTATATCAATGTAAAACTATTCAAATGCATGTAAAATACAATGCCAACCTGGTGCTAGCGTATTTACATAAATAATTAATTAATAATATTTAAAGTATTGAAAGTCAGATTGTTGAATTGTTTGCCAAAGCAGTACTGAAAACATTTACATTTTTTTGCAACATTGTGTGAATATTACAAATGGACTGACAGAAGTGACTTAAAATTCTCATAACACATTTATAATTATTAAGTTTAAAATCTATCTATCTATCTATCTATCTATCTATCTATCTATCTATTACAGTTATAGATTAAACAACACTTCAAATTACATGTTTTGTTGCATTTCTGTGTGAAAAACATTAACACATTCTCTACAAAGAACACAATAACCTTTTTTGTTTATGTTATTATTATGAAAATGGTGAACAAATGCAATGTAATGGCTTGTTTGCTGTTTTTTCTGCATTTGCCATAGAAGACAATGAAGTGGTCACTGATGTATAACTAAAGACTTCATTTAAATCAGGCTGTCTCTGATCCTGGGGAGAACTCCTCCACAGTGAGGCTGGCTCATATCGGGGTGAGGTCAATGGAAATCCACCGATAATAACAGCGTCTGTAGCCTTTTTCATCCTCGCCAAGTGGGATTTCTTATCTAAGCTTGTCTGTACTTACTGAGTCCTTCAGGCCTGTGATTGCAGACTGCTGTTCTCTACAACAGCACAGCACAGAGTGTGTGTGGTGTGCCTATGTGTGTGTGTTTGGGTGTGAGTAGATACCATGTGCAGTAATACCTGTGTTTTTTCTCAAGGAGAAAATGCTTAGCTAGAACAATGGTGAGAGCGAGAGAAGAAAGGCAGAGTCTAAAAGAAACAGATATGTATGAAGTCACCACTTCATAGGCTCCCAATTTCCACACTTTTACAGCTGCAGAGAGAGAGAGAGAGAGAGAGAGAGAGAGAGAGAGAGAGAGAGAGAGAGAGAGAGAAAGAGAGAGAGAGAGAGAAAAGAGAGAGAGAAAAGGCAGAGGGGAGAGAGAGAGAAGAGGGAAAAGGATGAGGAGAGAGAGAGAGAGAGAGAGAGAGAGAGAGAGAGAGAGGGAGAGAGAGAGAGAGAGAGAGAGAAGGAAGACAAAAGAGAGAAGGCTGAGAAGAGTGAGAGAGAGAGAGAAAAGAGAGAATGATGAGAGATAGAGAAAAAGTTTTTCAGTTTGAAATTATATTTACTATAGTCAGAACTACACACTCAAACTAGAACTATTCAGTGTAGGTATAACATGCACCCAGGCCAATTGGAGATGTGTGTGTGTGTGTGTGTGTGTGTGTGTGTGTGTGTGTGTGTGTGTGTGTGTATGTATATATATATATATATATATATATATATATATATATATAATTTTCCTGTATAATGTATAACTAGCCCCCTGTAGAATCAAGACTAATTTAAAACCGAATCAAATCAAAATCTTCACTGAAGATCGTACTGAACCTAAAAACATGTGTATCGTTCCACCTCTAGACTGCTATAGATAGTGTAAATGCTAAAAAATTCAACAATGGAGAACATGAGAGTGAACTAAATTCCCTCAGATTATCCCCTCCTACTCCAGATGCCTTTTCCCTGTACATTACCAAAAGCAGAGGCTCAGAGTTTTAAGAAAGCACTTCGTGTCTACTCTCAAGTAAAACAGTTTTGACACTCATGATGGCGGTTATAATGACCCAGAATTGACTCATACTTTTAACAGAACACGTCATCCTGCCATATGTAGAGACAGTCCGGTTTCAACAGGACTAAAATTGGATTTCCACCTGATGAGGACACTCCTTGAGAATCCTCATAATATATTAACGTAACGATTTTTGTTTTCCACCTGTTTTCGGGAAAGCCCCGCCCTTCTGCGCTAGGATTGGCTGATTATTACTCACCCGCAGTCCGCCGTTCTAAAAGTAGGCATGTGCTCTGATATCAAAATATCACGATAATTATCAAAACCCTATCACGGTTTATTATTTCACATATTGTGAAATAATATTGGGTCACATATTGTATTGAGAAAAAAAACACAACATGTATAAAATAATACATGTACATCTGCTCATTTATTGCTTTTGAAAAAACTTCCCCGATGATTCTTGGTATAATGGCCCATCAGTCTTTATTCATTTCTATGATCTGAAAGTCTTTTTTAATGGTACCTTTCGTACTCGAAAAGCCTGGCCATCACTCTCAGTATTTAATCTTGAATTCTCTTTTGTTTTTTCCTCTTACACAAAGGCTGTTTACAATATGGTTGCTCCGTTTTAATGTTTCCATTTATTTGCTGAGCTAAACACAGTTAAAAATATAAAATGTGTCACATTTTTTATTTCCTCCCCCAATATGTTAAATTCAGCGAATAAACAGTAGTTGTTCATTAAGATGTGCAGACGTGTGTTCTCTGTAGAGAATGTGTGAATATTTTAACTCAGAAAATCAAAAATTTGACCGGAGCTGCTTAAACTTTCGGACTGTACGTCTCTGCACTACCAGCCAATCCTAACGCAGGAGGGCGGAGCGTGTCTGAAAACGGGTAGGACAGAAAAACAAAATAACGCCTCACCGGGGTACAAGACGACCAACACCCCTCAGTCCACCCACACAGACGATTCAGAGATGCGGGAGTCGATGGGCGACGAGCGGACAACTCCAGTGTAGCTTCGCTCGCGAAACGTCGACTGATTGAAGGCTCTGAGGAGGATGTCGCGCCGTTAGAGCTGCCGAGTCTCCTCTATCTGGACTTTAACGGTTACAGTTTAACGGTTTTCTCAGTGTGGAACAGCAGAGCACGTTCGAACCCACTTCAAATGTGTTCGAACTCTCTCACGGCGCGCGTGACAGCCGAGCTGCATGTGTGGATTTGTGCAGATTAACTGTGCAGGGTTCGAGCTGAAGGCTCCTGTCGGTCACTTTTAAGCTAAATTGACTCCTCAGTGGACCTGAGAATGGGCATTCCTACACTACTACTCCCACTACTACTGACCTTCGGTGAGTCCAGGCTGTTCATTCATGTTTTCCTTGTTATTAACTACCGCGGGTATATGTTTAAGCGCGCTTAGCATATGAAGCTAATGGTACACACTTAAAAAAGAACTAGCGTGCTTTAGGTCCTTCCATGGTCCTTTTCAGAACCATGAGTTCTATATAGAACCATTTTAGGCTTACATGGTTCTCTGTATGGTGAAATGGTTCTTGAGACTGATGGGGAATGTGTTGTATATGGTTCTGTATAGAACTTTTTAAAAAAGGTGCTCTGTATAGCACCAAAAAGCGTTCTTGTGTTGTCACAAGCTTGAAATAGTAACAACAGCAGAACCATTTTTGGTGCTATATGGAACCATTTTCGAAAAGGTTCTATAGAACCATAAACAACACATTCTCCATTAATCTGAAGAACCATTTCAACATGCAAAGCCATTTAAGCTTGGAATGGTTCTATTCAGAATCTTCTTGGAAGTGGTTCTATATAGCACCAGAAGGGTTCTTCTGTTGTTACTTGATATCGTAATAATAGCAGAACCTGTTCTGTTGCTAAATAGAACCATTTTCTAAACAGTCCTATAAAACCATATACAACACATTTTCCATCCATCTGAAGAATCATTTCACCATGCAGAGGGCCATTTAGGCTTGAAAGGACTGTTTAGGTTCTAAATAGAACCATTTCGTTTACTAAAGAACCCTTGAAGAAACAATTTTTAGAGTGTGCTTGTATAAGCCAGTGGTGCTGAATTTGTGCTATTTTCTTGACAAAAAACTTGCTAAACACTTAAAAGGTGACTTCACTGACAGATATGGACATGTTACTCTCACTAATATGCTTCTTATTAAGTTTTCATTTTTCTCTCTGAATGTTAATCATATTCATAGTGCATTTTGCCTGAGACAACAAATACAACATGTATTTAGAATTTTATTTTGTACAGCAAACATTCAGCAGACGTTTGTGCTCATTTCGTGCAGGAACATTTCAAGAAATGTTCATTTTGAGTGGAACTGCATGCTGTGTTCCTTGGACTTTGCACATGCCTGATTTGATGTCTGTGCTTAAATCAATAGCTACTCTTTAAGGATGGACAATATTTAGATGTGGGCGATACGTTAGAATGTAACATCACAATACTTAAGGAAGTTTTTATGATGTGTCACAATATTTATTTTTTCTGACATCTGATAAATTAGAATAGACAAAGTAGTGCTACATTTTAAAAATATTATTAAAAACTAAGAATCCAGTTGCTTGTAATCAAAATTTCACACACTGTGCTGCACAAAATCCAATTAAAGAGGACTAATGATGCTCTCATTGTAATCAAACATGCAGTTGGAAAGTGTTTTATGTATTGACGATGTCCATGATATTCTCAAAAAAGCATATTGTGACGTACTGTGCTGTAATTTATCACAGTAACGATAGTGTCAAATTGCCCAGCTCTACAATGTCTGAATCATAAACAACTTAATTATCAGCATCGTACAGATGTTTGGATTTCACCAATATTTCAAACCATTTTTTGATGATGTATTTATTGTACTCTGAAGGAACAGAATGTTTAGGTGCTGCTGGGCTGCTGTGCTAAAATGTTTTTATTCATCTTACTGCTTTAATGAAGCTGCACAGTCAGAACGAAACCTTGTAAATCCATATTTTTATTACATAATTTAAAATTCCAGCTGCTGTTTACACCATGTCAAAATTTCATGATGAATTGACCAATAAGAATTGGTCCAAAATGACTGAAGAATAAAATCTTGTTGCACTTTTATTAAAGGTTCAGAAAGTTTTTTGCTTCTCCTTTAAAGTTACTTTTTTGGATATGTGAGGTTTTGTTCAGACATCAGCAAAATGTTGTATTTCTCTGTGATGTTAATCCAGGTGAATCTAGACCCAGTTTATGTCTCAGCATCTGTAGATATGTGCATGAAAAATATTGGGTATCGGCATCGATCCACAATTCACAATTTCATTGCATCCCTTTTAATCCTAAGTGCAGGAAAACTTTCACAGAAGAAAAGCTTGCAGTTGCAAGTTCTGCGGTTGGATGTGTGTGTTTGACCTTTGACTCTTTAATTTTTCTACCAGTGGAGGCATCAATCACAGCTTGCACAAAGCATATTATTTCAATAATTATTATTTTCCCATGTGGTTGCCAGAGCCCTTTTTTAAACAAAAGTTGCAGCCTGTTTGGAAGGACAATGTTTAGTGGTGAGATTGCTATTATATTTAAATCATTTTGTGTGTAAGACAGGAGGCAATAAAGTGCACTCCCTGGGGCTCTTGTGCAGATGAGGGTTGTTCTGGAGAGTAAGGCTTCACTTTAGCTCTCCGTGGGCTCGGCCTGGCACAGAGGGGAAGTGTAGATTACTGGACTGCCCCTGACCCGTTCCATCTGCCAGAAATGACAGTGGAGGCCAACGCTTGGCTGCCACTTCAAATGAGGCCCAGAGATAAAAACGATATTTTCAAATCCACTTAAACTCTTGAGTGTGTTTAAACGAATCTAACGTTCAATTAAGTGGCGCGTTATTGCAGCCTTTCCTAGCAGCCATAAAACTGCCGACGTCATGCCAGATTAGAGCGTGCTGTAAATTTATAGGGGGGAAAACCTCAGGATGAGGTCAAAGGAAAAAACCAAAGCAGGAACCTAAGGCTCGGCGTCATGTTGTGCTGAGAGACTGGAGTCCAAATTGAGCTCAAAGTGTGGAGCCCGGCCTATTGCTTGTTGTAAGTGAGACACCAAAGCTGCAAGCACCTACAAAATTAAAAGAGAAAGATGTCAAAAATCATTTCTGAATGAAGCAAAGTTCTCTCTTTGAAGGTTTTCAGCTTAGCCGCAGAAGACCCATGGGTCATCATGAATGTGCTCCATGCCTCAGTGCTAATGTGTGCTCAGTAAGTTCTGACGCCAAGCAGACACTGTCAGACATTACAAGTCTTATTGTTCAATCTCAGATATGATCTTTCTGCCTGAACCTTCATATTGATGTTTGTAAGTGACTAATGTCTTTCATTGCTGTGAGCAGACCTCTGTTTTGAAAGCACCTGCATGCACACACTTTAAGTTACAGCTACAGTTGATGCTGAATGTTGACCACAATAATATGTGTATTTGCAGTGAAGTGTGATTAAAAAAACACACAACTTCACATGGACAAGTATGGGCTACGTATCTGGCCTGTGCGGGGGTGGTCCCACACCTAAAAAAGTGGAGGGGCTAAATAGAATAAATAAATAAATAATGATAAACAAAATTGGCCTGGCTACAACGTGCTAATGGAACAGTGGCAAGAGAGGGGAGTGTTCTCTGTCCCTGATTGAAAAAACAGTTGGGCCACTGTCTAGTACAGGGGTGTCCATTCGTATCCGCAAAGAGTTGGAGTGGCTACAGGTTTTCACTCCTAACAAGCTGAAGCACACCTGATTCTACTTGTTTAATCAGTTGGTCTTTGCCATCAAACATTTCATCAGATGACCTCCTGCTTTGTTGGAGTGAACCCGCAGCCACATCGGCCCTCTGTGGATAAGTTTGGACACCCCTGATCTAGTACATATTTACTTTAAGCACTACATATAGCCTAGGTCATAGCTACAATGTGAACTTAGCAAGCTTTGCTAGCTAACATCTCTGAGGAACATTAAATCCTATCTTTAAAAAGTAGCAGTAAGAAATATTAAGAAAAGTAGCAGTAAGAAACTGCCATTTATCCAGCTTCACATGGACTATAAACTGTTTACTGGATTAGTGAGAAATCGCACAAAATCTTGCAGGTTTCACTGTTTGGGTAATGTCCCAACCACCTCCTGAAATGGAGATTTGAATGGGTTTGTGCGGTTAGGGAAGGCGGGATTTGTTTTTCTAAATAAGCATCAAAAAGTGGTGGGGCATCACCCCATTACTTAGAAAGGTTCTAACAAATGCTAGCTTGCTAGCTTATTCTGGTAACCATAGATTTAGGATCATATATGAATCTAATTTGAAAAGATTTTTATGTTCACACAGCGCTTGAGGGAAAATCTAATTACATTGGGTTCAAATTTAATCAGACACCTAGCAAAATCAAGGTAATGCAGTGTAACTGAATATGCACATTTACTTTTGTGCACATGAAACTCCATTTCTTTTCATTTATGCATCCATTAAAATGCCTACGGGCTTATAAAACTTGTGTATATAATCTGTATTAACGAGGGGCTAATAAAAGCTGCTCTGTGAGCAGTCTGTCAGGGACAGACTGGCCCTCAGACACAGCAGATATGGAGAAAAAGCGAGGCATGGTAAATAGCTTTAGGAAAAGATGGAGGCGGCTTGTCACTGAGTTCCTCGGGCGATTCTGGAGCCTGTCCGTTTGTCAGCCGTCCCAGAACCGTTAGCTCACCGATGGGACCCAGCCAACTGGAAATGTTCTTGGTGGTTGGAGCATGGGGAACTGAGTGGGTTCTTTGAATTAGATAGACGGCAAGAGCTTGGGAAAAAGTGGTTATAAACCTCAGGCTAGAGTAGACTAGGCTTGACAGTTAACACGGGAAGGGTTAAAAAAAGAAACATTTTTTAAGCAAAAACAAGAAACAGTCAAGTCCAGGCACCAGGTATGATTTTTGATGCTGTTAAATTTTAAAAATAAAGTGAACAAAGAATGTTGTTGTTTTTTATGACAATTTTGTCACTTTTATTTTTTAAAGCGTATGGCAAAAAAATCTAAACACTGGTCATTATCTGAACATGCAGTGTTTATTGGATTGACCACAGAAGTATATATAAATTGTTACTGCTTAATTAGCATCTCTGATGTTCAAATTCAACCTATTTATCAATACAAAACTCTTGAAATTTAAGTAAATAAAATAAGTAAACCCATTCAACATGTTCTGGAGGGAAGATTAACAGTGAAATGAAGACATAAAACATCCTAACACTAATCACACTGCAGGGTTGCTCACTGCAACAATGCTGTCGCATGTTCTAAGAGGAATTAATCCTGTATCAGTACAAAGAAGATCACAGTCACAGACCTCCTTTGTGTGCACATGTGTAGTATTACTATCCAAATGTTCAAGCCAAAGTTCTCACAGAAGTTGTAGTCAATTATGTACTTACTGTTCTATTCTCTCTCATTTGTGTTTGCAACATAAACAAATGTCCCAACTTCCTAAACCATTTCATCATCTGTGACTCAGATTAGGTTCTAGTGTTTGTAGTCGTTGTAGTTTATCAGGTAGTTCAAACACTATAGTTTACAGTTTCTAAACAGAGGGTTTTGTGATGTACAAATACCCAAAGGATGTTTAGTTTGGGGATGTAATAGTGTATTTGTGACCTCCTGTCGGTCTGGGTTTCCTCTCTTCCAGCAATGCAGACAAAATCTGTTTTAGCGCTAATAGATGGTAAATCTGAACTATTCCCCAGACAATGTCATCTGAACATTTCACAAAATGATGATGATAATGATGATGATGATGATTATTATTATTATTATTATTATTATTATTATTATTTGTGCTACAACACAACTTTTCTATCACCATTGCTACCTGCTCAGAAAGCTTACATACAGCCCTGCACTGTTTAAATCAACTACAAAATGGGTTATACTTTATGTTTGTTTCTAGAAGCATAAGGTCACATATGTTACTAAATAAAACTCACATATGTTATTGTATATGCTTTATTAAATTAACATGCATAATTTAATTCACCTAAGAAAAACACATTAGTCTATATGAATATAGAATTTAAAATCTCAAAAGATAATATATTGTTTACTACATTGTAGTATTGAAAAAAAATTGAACTTCCGATTCTGCAACACTGTAGGTTTTGGCTAGGCTGCAGAAGGCCCATGGGTCATAAATGGACTTCAGTGCTACTGTGTACTCAATAAACTTTGGCACCAAGCAGACTTAGTCATTCATATGTGCAGCTGCGGATGTTTTGAGAGGAGTATTTCATTTAGTTATCAGTGCTATCTTCCAGTGACTCATCAGCATACTATTTTTACTTTGTCCATGTGCAGACTCATACAGTTTGCATGAATCTGACTAGGCTCAGTTCCAGCTTTGAGTCAATTTGATTCAAATTCAGCATTAAGATGTGGATAAGCAGTCTCTGTCTAACCTCAAACTTTATCCAACTTTGGAGTAACAGTGTGTGCCCCTCTCCAAGACGTCATGCAGCGTAAATCCTGAACCCTCCATAAAATGTTGGAAAGACTGTTTGCCTTGAAGAGATGAGAAAAGCCGGGTGCTAACATGTGGTTCACCAGCCATTAGGAAATCTCACAATCGAGGACATGTCAGGTTGCTTTTATTTACACAATAGAACTCTCCATGTTAGCCGTGACTGGGCCTATCCAAGGTGGTTTAGAGTATCAGAGTCTGAAAACACGGACTTGGCAGGCAGTCATCATGTTGGGCGGAACTGGCTACAGATGCAGGTGCAAACACAGCCAGTGTTTTTTTTTTTTTCAGGGCAGTGCGGCTCAGTTAAGGCACTATATTCTTATTTTAAAAATTAGGGGTGTAGAAATGTGTCAGTAAATTGCGATGCATCAATCTGAAAGTAACAATTTAAGTATATTTCAGTTTTGGAACATAGATTGTGATGATGATTCTGATTAATTAGAGTAATATTGGCGGCATGGTGGCGCAGTGGGTAGCGCTGTCGCCTCACAGCAAGAAGGGCCTGGGTTCGATTCCCGGCCGGGCGACCAGGGTCCTTTCTGTGTGGAGTTTGCATGTTCTCCCCGTGTCTGCGTGGGTTTCCTCCGGGTACTCCGGTTTCCTCCCACAGTCCAAAGACATGCAGTCAGGCCAATTGGACATGCTAAATTGTCCCTAGGTGTGAGTGTGTGTGTGTGTGTGAATGTGTATGTCTGTCTGTCTGCCCTGCGATGGACTGGCGACCTGTCCAGGGTCTATCCTGCCTTCCGCCCAATGACAGCTGGGATAGGCTCCAGCACCCCACCGCGACCCAGAAGGATAAGCGGTTTAGTTGATGGATGGATAGAGTAATATTCAATGAAATATCTTTTTCTTATGTTGGCCAGAATAAAATTATTGGGCTTTTCCAAACATCTGATGTAAAAACATTACATCCCTCCAGCACCCCAAAAAACTTGGTGTATTGTTTTCATTGTCTATATTCCACTATCATATTCTGTGTATGTAGTCCTTCCAGTCACATTTTTGTATTTGTATTCAGTGGACAACTCTTCTGAATCTGAATTGTGGTGAAATCTGAGCTGTTCCCTGAATCGTTTCCTAATGAATCATAATCAAATAATTTACAGATTTGCAGATTTACAGTGCCTCTATATACTATATATTTAGTCTACCACCTGGACTTTGTAAGGGTCTTTTGTATCGTCTTAAACTGACCCTTTTTATTAATAAACAAAAATGAGACTGGAGCAAATAAAGTACTCAGTTTAAAGCTGATTATACTGCCTGAATTATAATAACATTTAAACAGGCAAGCCCACAGTGAGTGAGAAAATATTATTACCTCTTTACCTCAAAATGGGAAAAGCACACCCCTCTTAAGATTATCTTAGTTCAGGGCTAATATATTAGCTGGTGGCAAGTGCATTATTATGTAATAATGTATTTTTATAATGTTGAATGCTCTAATAATCTGAAAATGGAAACACACACAGACTAGCCACTCTGATAAATACACCTACCTTGTTTCTACACTCTTTGTCCACATTATCAGGTCCACTGATCATAAGGATGCACTTTGTAGTTCTACAGTTAGAGAGTGTAGTTTGTCTGTTTCTCTACATACTTTGTTTCACTCCGTTCTTTGGTGCTCAGGACCCCTACAGGACCACCACAGAGCAGGTATTATTTGGGTGGTGGATCATTCTCAGCACTGCAGTGGTGGTGTTGTATTATTGTGCTGGTAGGCTATAAGTGTATCAGACACAGCAGTGCTGCTAGAGTTTTTAAACACTGTGTCCACTCACTGTCCACTCTGTTAGACACACCTACATTGCTGGCCCACCTTGTATATGTAAAGTCAGAGACAGTAGCTCATCTGTTACTGCACAGTTTGTCTTAATCATTCTATAGTTCTTCATCAGATGCTGTTGGCTGGATATTTTTGGTTGGTGGACTATTCTCAGTCCAGTAGTGACACTGGGGTGTTTAAAAACTCCAGCAGCACTGCTGTGTCTGATCCACTCAGACCAGCATGACACACACCAACACACCACCACCACATCAGTGTTACTGCAGTGCTGAGAATGATCCACCACCCAAATAGTACCTGCTCTGTGGGTGCATGGGGGTCCTGACCACTGAAGAGCAGGGTAAAAGGGGGCTAAATAAGTATGCAGAGAAACAGACAAACTACACTCTCTAACTGTAGAACTACAGAGTGCATCCTTATGATCAGTGGAGCTGATAAAATAGACAATGAGTGTAGATAGAAAGAGTGGAGAGCAACGAAGCAACACTAACCATTCTAGCTGAGCTGGAGAGATTATGCTTTTTCTACATCATACTGCTTCCGCAGTATCACACTGTTCCATCTCAAAAAGTTCAGTGTGACCATTGTGTTTAAAAACCAATAAAATTTTAGCCCTGAAGCAGAGCAAAGTTTAAAGACCAGACCAGCAAGTTTAAATGTTTGCAAATGTTTCAGAAGTGACTAAACAACACTTTTAACTGTGTTTCTTTACCCAAGACTGTTGTGTTGACATAGTAATCCCAAAAGAACAGACTGCTTGTTTGTAGTGCCTTGGAGCAGCATTGACAGAGTAGCATGGGTTTCTACTGGCATTGGCAACCATTCTTAAAGAAGAGTGTGTGAGAGAAATCCGCCACACTCTTGATGCATCTTGGAATGTAGCTTAATAGCCTCAGGCTCTGGAATCCTTTCCTTTCGGATAACCTATGTTAGTCTTCAGCTTTTGTTGTTTCATATGGTGACCTTATGGAAGTCCTATGGAAACATATGTCTTGAAACATACGTTAGCATAGTATGGTCAAAGAATGTGCTTATTGTTATCATTACAATGAAGAAACTTCTTTTATAAGAATGTCTATATCAGTAGACTTTGTGTATGTATCATAGCCTGTGCACTAGCATGTTTTTGATTGAATAGCTGATGACTACACTTTTCTTTGTTCACTTCTTTCCAGCTCACATTTCTAAAACATCAATAGATTGTGCTCTTACAAGACCATTAAAAAGTGTTGCTTGCATAATCTCCCAGTGGGAAGTAGCATTTGTGCCAATTTACCCAACAAATAGCCTAATCAGGATTCCAGCTCATACAAAACAAGTTGGAATTCTTCTCTAACACAAACGAGTGTATCATCAGGCAGTAAAAACAGGTCCAAACATTCGTCAGAGCTGTCTGCCACTTCTCTAAAGAGCTATGAGGATTTTTATTTAGATGTATTGTGGCTTACTGGTCTTCACTTAATTGTTTTCAAACATGCTTATTTATAATCATTACTTGGGATTGCAGTGTCTTAGGGACATTAAAGTGCATTGATGCATCCAGATGTCAAATAGAATAGTGTGAAATGTGTGACCCCTACAATGTGCATAATGCATGCATAATCTTATTGTGAGACTTTACAGAAAATAGACAGACATTAAACAGTTTATTAAACATGTTCTTCCTGTGGCGCTGCTTGCTGTGTTTGCCAGGCTGGACAGAGAGCTTGTCTCTGTACGCATCGGATGGCCGCTCTCCTCGGCTGGCCTTGGAGAAGAGTTTAAGCTGGCCGTCCAAAGACATGCAGTGCCAACACATGCTGAAGCATCTCCGTAATGGTGCACGCATCACCGTACAGATGCCTCCTAACATAGAGGGACACTGGGTGTCTACCAGGTGAGCACACAATAGATCAGAATTGGTTCTCTCTCATAATAGAGGCAGTGTTAAATTGGGAAAAGTAGTTAGAAGCTGCTTCTAAAATGTAACATAAAATACAAAATATTTTTTAATTTAAATTATATCAACAAAATACCAGAACAAAAGGCAGTCTGGTGCTGAAGGAAGTTAAAAATGCTCTTTAGTTTAGATCAGAATGTGATAAAGCTGTTTCTGTTAAAACGTTTGTACAGCTTTGCCTTTTAAATGGGTTTCTGCGTGATGCTCCTAGGATTTTATTTGTATTCTTAAGAAGTCAGTATTATTTAGAAGAACAGGTGCACTTTTCAGATAGATAGATCCATAGGGAATAGTTACTGCAGCAGTATCATAACTGTACAGATCACATGCATGTATTAGAGAGACTCACAATGATGTTCAAAGTGACCCCCCCATTTTTCTGTTACCATGACAGCTGCGAGGTGCGTCCTGGGCCGGAGTTCATCACGCGCTCATACCGCTTCTACCAGAACCACACCTTCCAGGCCCACCAGTTCTACTACACAGACAACCATTGTACAGCTCCTGCGTACACGCTGGTGATCCGGGGCCGGCTGCGTCTACGCCAGGCCTCCTGGATCATCCGTGGCGGGACGGAGGCCGACTACCAGATCCACCGCATCCAGGCTGTGTGTCACACCATGGCCACAGCCAAAGAGCTGAACCACAGGCTGGAGCGGACCTGCAGTGGAGAAAAAGAACCTGGACCCTGGGAGCCTAATGTCATGTACGAGTTGTGGAGCGAGGAGGGCGGCTGCGACTGCTCACGTGGGCTCAACTTTGCCATGCATGAGCTGCAGCTGCTCCGAGTGGAGAAGCAGTACCTGCACCACAACCTGGACCATTTGGTAGAGGAGCTCTTCCTGGGGGATATCCACACGGAGCCAGCACAGAGGATGTACTACAGGCCCTCCAGCTATCAGCCAGCACTGCAGAACGCCAAGGTCAGTGCAAGAGGAGTGTGGGCAGTGCTTCATTTGTAAATTATGAGGTTGTGGAACACTGTGTAGTGACAGATCTGGCAGGTTAAATAAGACCTGCAGCTCAGTGGTGGATTTTCCCATAATATTGGGGAGTAATGGGTGTGTTCACAAGGTTTTAAGCAGCAGATGTTCTCTCACAAACATGGGTCTCAGCAAACAATGTGCAAAGTGCATTCCTCTTAAAGCATGAATAGACTGATAAATTGATGTCAAAAGCCAAATATTTTTCACAGCATTAATAAGCTCTTTTGAGGGAAGAACAAGTACATGTATAGTTAATGCATTTATGAATGATAAATATAGAATCTGTATCATCTGCTTCACACATTTTACACACAAAACTGAGAATGAGAATAGTAATCATGTTTTAAACATGTTTACAGTAGTAGTTCATCAGTTTTTGAGCTGTATACATGTGCGTTTGTAATTAGCCATTTAGCTGAACCATTAAGTTTCTTGCTCTCCACGTTCAGGCCCTCCGCAGTGAAGCACTTGTTCAGCTATGTTCCTATGCATGTGTGGTAATTTGATCCATTCTGTCATCGCAGCCCTTGAAAATGTGTTTATCGCAGGGACTCATATCATGATACCTATAAAAACAAGATTTTTCTGTGCAGCCCTGTTCTTAGCTGTTGGTACTTAGTATCTTCCAAACTGATGACAGGTATAGCTCGAGCTCAAATAAACAAACATTACTCACTGCTGCCCTCTAAAGGTGTTATAGCACCAGTCAGAGGTTAGAATGTTTGTTATTTTTGTAACGTGTCTGAAAAAATGTGTTTTCTGCTTACTTTTATTTACATGTATTTGCCTCAATCCAACTGCTGAAAACACACCCAGTTTACATTCTGTTTGTTGTAATGTAAGCATATGACTGTGAAAGCTAACAACCATAGGAAATAATTATGGTCAGCTTAAGTAATTAGGATAAACTTGAATAATTGCGATTATACGAATATGTAGTAATTGTGACAGGCTTAATTGGTGTTTTTTTAGTAATGTTTTTGCCATAATGAAGTACAAAAACACAGCTATCACCTCATGCTGTGCATTGTGCGCACCAAAGCACTAGCTACTGGGAAAGATCATTTAAACATGGACTGGACTGTGTTTGCGTGCATGCTGTGAAATTACGTGACATGTTCATATAATTATCCGAAAAACTCAGAGACTGCAACTTTTTAGTCAAATTTGTGAGTTGTTTGTAGAAAATATTACTGTGGTGAACTATGAACATATTTACAGATATGAACCAATACGTATATTTATTTCACATGTAAACGAAGTGCAGGATCCACCAAAATAGGCCCAGATCCAGTCTTTTCTGGCACAGTTTATGCCTTGAGTGTGTGGAGTGCATCTGTGTGCATGAGCATATACACACGTGTGCCTTTCCATATGTGCATATAAAACGCTAGGGGGGAGATTTTGAGAACGCCTTGACTCTAAATAGTTTTAATACCACAGATCAGATTGAATTCACATGTATATGTCTATGCATGCATGTGTGGAAGTGGAAAGTAAGCCTTTCCTATCCAGAGCTAAAGGCAAATGCAGGCTGCTCCTACTTTACTGGCATTTACTTGCTGGTATCAGCCTTTCTTTATATGTGGTGGCAAAGCGGACAACAGATCTGAGATATGTGTAAGGAAGCAAGAGACACTGGTGATATCCTCCTTACTTTGTTAAAATCTTCTCCTAGAGTAGTTGTGACTCATGCATGTCCATGCTGGACATGGTAAAATGGATCAGCATTGTGATAAATTGTGTCAGAATGTACTGTTACATTTCTGATGGCATGCTTCTGCTTTGACTAACACAGACAATATCATACCAGTTTCAAAAGCCCCCAAGAATTAAGAGTGAAATTGTTCTGTTCGGAGCTTGGATGAGCATTTCAGTAGGTTTAGGCCTTGGCTCGTACATCTGTCCTCCACAATAAGCCACATTCCTTGTTTCTTAATTCCCTGTGCCAATGTGTGCATTCCTGATCTGCAGTTGTCTAATTTGGAGAAGTAACAGAGTACACGCCATCACAGCATAAACAGCTGAGTAAATAAACCAAGCAAATTCATCTCAGATGATCGTCTTACTACTCAATGTAGGGTCAGTATTCCACTAGTTAGAAAAGGTGATAAGTCTCTCCCTTTACAGTGATTCAATTAGATTCCACAGTGCCTGCAACTCAGCTCTGTCACATAATCACATCAGGTGGGATATTACTCTGCTTTTTTATATACAACAGTTTTACAGTAGGTTTAAAACTTAACAGTACAAACAGCAGATCTGTTTTTTTGAGGTTTTACTACTGTATCAGAGCCTCTACACACTGTTAGTGCAGCACAGGTTGTTATAGAGTAGGTAGTAACCCCTCTGCCCTTAACACTGCAGACATGGTTTCAATCCCCTGTCTGGCCATCACCCTGGGTTACACCAACAGTCCTTGGGCAAGACTCTTAATACTGCCTTCACCTACCTCCATGAAATGATGCAATTGTAAGTCATTTTGGACTGGAAAGGGGCCGTAAAAATAGTTTAGAACTCGATATAAAGTGAGTGTGGGGTTAACTGGATTTCAGCATGCGCTATGATGGACATAAGACACACGTCTAGTCTAGCTAGGACTAGGTCTGGACTGAAACATAAAAACGCTTCCAATATTATTGTTTTTAAGAGTGATTTTAAGAACAATTATACAAATTTATAAGTACTCTTTCGGAATTATTAGCAAGTCTTTGAAGCCTGTAAAATGTTTAGCCAGCCCTAGAAATGAATCAGTGCATCATAAAATCTCCAATTTCACCATGATTCGATTTGATATGATTATTTTTAGGGATGCACCAATATGGGAAATGTGTGCAGATGCCAGTATGTTTCTTGTACATGTCTGCTGATGCTGATACATAAACGTTTATAAAATGTATAAATTGGGACTAGCTAGGAGGGACTACTGTCTACCTAGGTTAGCATTACAGTGAAATATAACATTTATTTCTGTAGGGCTGTAAATAAAGCAGAGTATATACAAAGCAAATATTTTAGCACAGTAGCCCAGCGTCACATAAACATACTGTTCTTCCAGAATGCCATAAATACGTCGCCAAATATCGTTTTGAAATATCTGCCAAATCTAAACATCTGTCTGATGTCTATATAGTTTTAAAGCAATTATATGCCAATACTGATATGATTCCGATATCATTGTGCATTCCTAATTATTTTGTTATTATTTAGAATTATTTTTAAAAATGTACTGAATACACAATTTTGACAAGAGGAATGTTTTTTCTTTATGTTTAAAAATGTTCTGAGAATTTTGTTTTGGTGAAAAAATGTTTTGCATGTTGAAAATTATTATAGTCAAAGCATTTTTACATTTGATTTTTACACAACTCTGGTGATCAGACACTCTCTCCAACAGGGCTTAATCACTGAGCCTAACAACGTTAAGCCTGTCCGCAACTAGGCCACGAAACGTGAAACGGGGCCTATCTCCCCGAGTGATCAACATGCGGTATTCCCAGAATTCGGAATCACGCAGCCTTATGAATTATTCGGCCGAGTGCATTCCAGAACTGATTTCATGCATGCCTGAGGCAGTATCAGAAAGTTCACTAGAGCCGTGGCTTCTCTGTTCCTCAGCCCTTTTCTTTTTTCCTTCGCCTCTCTCGCCCTCTCTCTTTCTCCACAACACGAAATAATAGCACCCTTTCAGACAGTGCTTTACGTTTACAGAGTAAAACGCCTTTCATGTGTTTTTTAAAGGAACCTTCGGAAACAAAGCAGAGATAACCACAAAGGATCCTTTTTTAATATGTGGAAAACTTTTAAAAGACAGCACGTTTGCCATGACATGTTTCTTCATTTAAGTTGCCACCAGCCTAAAAAGACATGACTTTTGTCATACACGTCTGCCATAATTTGAGACAGTTCTGCTCGACTGAGGCCGTAAAAGATTTTAATATAGAAAACCCTCCTTACATGAAGAATTTCGTTTAAGCCCTTTGCTATTAAAAATGGGTTTTGCGCAATTTAGCCACAGAGAATTCCAAACAAGAGCGCTCTGAAGAATAAGCCACAAGTTTATGTTCAAGCAACAACAGGGAAAAGGCTCCATAGCATGTGGCACTCATTTTCATTCTAATCAAGCCCAAAGATTTAGTCTACACTTTGATGCATTATGACCACATCAGCCAAATATGGCACAGAAAACCCCATTTAATTAACAACTCCACCATCAAGGGGAGGAGTGATTCCTCCTTATTTAGATGCTTTATTGCTATGATGACAATTCCATCCATAAATCACAAATAGCAGCTCATGCCCAGCTGCTGGGCCTCTTCCAGAGGACTTTAGAGTGCCAGTCTGTTCATTTGTGGTTATTGGGTGGATCTGAGCTGCATGGTCACAGACCAGCATCAACCAAGATGTTTTTCTCTCTTTTCCAATTCCCCTGCCACAGTTTTCCATCTTTCCATCCCAAACTGGTTCAGACCCGTCTGCGGGAGCCCGCCTTTTATTGATTATTTGTTGATTGAAACAGCTTAGCAGACAGTGCACATAAGGCATGTTTTTGCTTTTATTGATTAGAACAAATAAATATTGCACAGAAATGCTGTTTTTTTGGTTTGTTTGTTGTTTGTTTTTTCTTTATGATGTTCTGGTGGTGTAGCACTATAAGAAGGACAGTGTTTTTAACTAGCAGTTACGGTTATTTTACATCCCTTACGATGGATCTTGATAGACAGATGTGCTGTAACGTTATGCCAGATAAGTAGACAGTGGAGTCTAACTGGATTTTTGCTTACTTAGATAGCAGCCATGATACAGAAATAAGTTCAAGACACTTTTAAAAGCTTTGTTCAGTGTTGTGTTTTCATAGATATTTATTAATATTCTGTTGCTAACTTGATTCTCTTAAAATTTCTTAGGAAAAGTAGCATTAGATGTAAAGGAGACATGAGAAACAGGAGAGATGAGAGTTTAGCTGCAGGTAAACATGAGTATTATCTTAACACATCTGAGCACGCGTGACTTTATTGAGATCTCTATTAAAACTCAAGAGAAGAAACACAAGATTACTGAGCTCTTTCGCTCACGAGAAATATCTGAGCAGCAGGAGACTTAAGCAAAAGTCTCGTCTTTCCGTCTGATTCCATTGTTGTCTAGAAGAAACTAAAGATATTAACGAGATCTCTTTATTTTTCTTTCCTATGGGAGAGTGAGGAAGTGAGAGAAAAAGAAAGAAAGATATGAGGAAAAAAGAGAGACAGGAAATTAGAGTGAGAGAGAGTAAGTGAGAGAGCCAGGAGTGAGAGAGAGAGAGAAAAGGAGAAGGGGAGATGAAAGAAGAAGAAAGAGAGAGAGAGAGGTGGTGAATATGTTACTTTGCTAAGCCTTGGGCCAGTCAGAAGGTCAGGGCCTCATAAAGCGGAATCTTCACCAGAAACGATGGGGTGAAAACATCTTGTCCACACATGCAGTTCCTCTTTTCTTCTTTTTCCCTTTTTTTTCTACATTGAGTCTGCAGTGGAGCCATGGAGGCGTCTTGTTTCAGCAGATCATTACGTTCTTGCTCCTCTCCTTTCTTATTATTTTGACTTGCCATATCATTATGATCCAACGAGTGATTACGTTTTCATCTTTTTACATCTCAAGTGATCTCTTTCACAAACCACACTAATTTAGAAATGAAAAGATCTCATATCTTTGTGGAAATTGCAACCATGTCTATATGCGCCACTTACTGTCATTAAAATGCTTTATAAATGTGAAACACACTGAGGAAAACATGTTTAATTCAAACTTGCTGGCAAGCAAAACTGTAATTAAACTAAAGATAAGGTACATGAAGGAACCTACAAGTACTAACAGAATCCAGAAGAGTGGAAAAGGGGTGAGGCCCAGTGAGCTTGAAGGCATTTCCAGCTCAGATAACATATCTGAAAATCAATGAAACACACAGACTTCTTCTTCCAGACACAGCATATAATCCATTGGATACACACCGTTACGTGTCTGTCCAGCAGTGCAGCATGCTGAAGCGTTTTAGCAACAAGTGACCACTCTGCTTCACCACTCCTGGTACTTTCAGATTGTTTCCCAAGCACTTGGCTAGTAAACGCTATCTTCTGCCTCAACATGTGGCAGCTTTCATTTGATCCAAATCTGTTTCACTCTGGAATTCCCTGCTGTTAACACTAATATGTGAAATGTCACAGTAATATGTATGGGTTAGCATTTTTAATCACAACGTTTTGTGCCATGCAGTGCCTTTTTGGCTGCTTTTACAGCTAGGAATGGGCACTTTGATAAATTACATTTAATTATGGCTCTAGATGCTCTTCTGAGAATATTGTGGATATCATCAGTACTTACCAACTGCATGTTTCATTACAAAGAGCACTGGTAGTCCTGTTTAATTGCATTTAGTCTTTGAAATGTTGAAAAAAAGACATTGGGCATTTGATAGCACTTTTTAAAATATGGCATTACTGCTTCTTTTTTGACTGTTCCAACTTATCACCTCTCAGAAAATATCACATATAGTGAAAAATGTCTTGAATTATTGAAATATTATTTTTTGTCATATTGCCCCCCCATGTACAGCTGAATATCCAAAGATAATAATTAAGCATCTGTAGGGATACAAAAAAATAGTAAGATGATATTTTAGCAGTAGCTGTTTCCATTAACCTTATGTGCATATTGCAAGTGATAAAATAAAAATGCTTTTAAAAAGTGTGTGTTTTTCTGCACAGTCATCAAATTGGCTTTTAGCAACAGAAATGAAATATGTAATGAACTCATTTCTTGCAAAAAATGTTGTTGCAAAAGTTTTGATTTGGCATTTCCATCTCTAGTTTTATGTTTTATAATACCTGCATCTCATCTCCTCCTCAGTCCAGCTACACCTCTCCACCCTGCTGTTTGTGTCTAGTATAAAAGGCATGTGAGGGCAGTCTGTCACGACACTAAATTTTAAAGTAGTGTAGGGTGTACAACATTTCAGGTCTTGACCAACAGTTTTTCCACTAAGGTTAAGTGGAAAAAGTTTTTATCGTCATTTATAAAATATTACCTATGTTCCATAGCCTACATCAACAAATGTTTTTTGTAAACAATCTGTATTTATATACAATATATATATATGTATATACAGCAGTGTTCCAACATCTAGTGTAAAGCCTTCCCAGCAGAGTAGGATCCATAACTGCAGCAAAACTCCCTATTAATACCCTTGATTTCAGAAGGAATGTAGCAAGTCTACAAACCTTTGGTCATATAGTTTATCTTAGCATTTGTTAAAACTCATGCTGGTTAAATCAGGTTGTCATGGTATAAGGAGAGAGTGTCAAGGAATTCAAATGAATCAGTGTTCCCAGGATGGGGCAACACTGGGTCAAGCTGGGCTCCTTCCAGGCCACAGCTCTGCAGAGATTAGCTTTTTTCTCTTCTAACATGCTGGCTGTGTTTGTTACACACTGATCACATACTGATTGTGCCCAATAGTAGTAAGTAGCATGCAGTATGCAACAAGCATGAATTTCTCCAGTACCCCAAAAAAAAACAGATGAGGTTCTGCTTTGACCAGATATTTTAGTAAGTAGCCAGAGCTCTTCGTGATGCACTGCATCCAATAATGCAACATGGAACAGCAGTGATTAGAGGGCCAAGAAAATGCGGCAAGTCTTGGGATTGGTCTGCTTGGCTCAGTCCTTGATGTTGGTAGTCTGTTCACATCCTTGCCCTGCAGAATCGCACATGGTTTAGTGTGTCATATCTGTGGTCACCAGCCCTGCTTCTGGAGATCTACCTTAATGCAGAACTCAGCTGTAACACACCTGGTCCACCTAATTAAGTGAACTGATAATTCAACTCAGATGTATTTAGTCAAGGCTGGAAGATCTCCTGGAGCAGTGTTGGTGACCACTGCTGTATGGTGGTGTAGTATGCAGTGTATAGTTCACAATATGCTATTTCAAACACGGTCTCTGAATTTATCTTACAAAGGCTTTTCTAATTAGCTGATGAGTTGAATCAGGTATGTCTAAGGAGGCTAAATGCTAAACTCTGCAGAGCTGTGGCCCAGAAGGAACTCCTGATTTAACAAATTTTGTTCTGACTGATGTTTTAAACTCTAGTTTCTTCATCTTGTGACATCTTTTGTGCTGCACACTTTTGACAGAACTATCAAGTATCATTTAGTCTCTCTCTCTCTCTTCCCACAGAGCCATGATCAGAGCTGCATCGCATGCCGGATCATCTCTCGTTCGGATGAGTTCCACCCACCAATCCTGCCCCCGCGGGCCGACCTCACTGTGGGACTGCATGGTCAGTGGGTGTCCCAGCGCTGTGAGGTGCGGCCGGAGGTGCTCTTCCTCACCCGACACTTCATCTTCCACGATAACAACAACACCTGGGAAGGACATTACTACCACTACTCGGACCCCGTCTGCAAGCATCCGACCTTCAGTATCTACGCCAGAGGGCGGTACAGTCGTGGTGTACACTCCACACGTGTGATGGGGGGAACTGAATTTGTATTTAAGGGTAAGTGTGGGTAATTTTTTGTCTGTCAGTTGTATTTAATTATATTAAGTATAATAGAACCACTGCAGCGTAATCATTTCTTCCACTTATTAGAGAGTCTTTCAAGTGTCAGAGTGAATCAAATAACCACAGAGAACTTAAGAGGCAGGATTTATTGCCTTTTCCCTCCCATCTAATTCCAAAAGAAGGGAGTCTGTACAGAATCCAGACATCAATATGGACTATTTGCAAGTTCTTCTTTATATTTTGTCAAGATGTGACTGAACTCAAGAAGAGCTGTATGATATGGACAAAATATTGCATAGTGTTGATATTCAGAGCATCTTTTCACAATAGCCAATATCATGATAAAGGTCAACAACTGATTGCATGGCCCTAAAAGAATATGACAATATTTAGATGGATTACCACAATACCCAAGATACGAGACTATCATAGACTATATACACTCGCCAGCCACTTTATTAGGAATGGCAATCTAATGCTGGGTAGGCCCCCATTTGCTTTTAGAACAGCCTGAAGTCCCTGTGTTATGGATGAAGGTGCTGGAAATGTCCCTTAGAGATTCTTGTCCATGTTAACTAAATCATATAATCTTCTGCTCTACCACATCCTAACGGTACACTATTGAATCCAGATCCGGTGACTTGGGAGGACAGTAAACTACACTGAACTCATTTTTATGTTCACAGAAGCAGTTTGAGATGACTCTGTGGTGAGGTGCATTATCATGCTGAAAGTAGCCATTAGAAGATAGTAAACTGTGGCCGTAAAAAGATGCACATGGTCAGCAGTAATACTCAGACAGCATGTGGCATTCAAACGATGATGAGAGGGCCCCCAGTGTGTGCCAAGAAAACATTTCCCACACCATTACACCACCAGCATCAGCTTAAACTGTCCTGTCAGCTCAAACAAGTCTGGCCATTCTCCTCCAACCACAGAGCTGCCATTCACTGGCTGTTTTTTTCACACAATTCTGTGCAAATTCTAGAGACTGTTGTGCATGAAAATCCAAGGAGATCAGCACTTTCTAAAAATACTTTAAAATACTCAAACCACCTTGTCTGGCACCATGCTTTGGTCAAAGTCACTTGAATCACAATTTTCCCGTTCTGATGTGTGATGTGAACATTAACTTATACGCTTGACCCAACACTGCAACTCATGATTGGCTGATTAGATAATTGCATGACTGAGTAGGTGTACAGGTCTGAAATGTAACAACCTTTCTTTCTGTCTCTGTATATAGTGAACCATATGCGTGTGATGCCGATGGACCTGGCCACCACTTCCCTTCTGAACGTCTTCAACGGCAATGAATGTGGTGCTCAAGGCTCGTGGCAGGTGGGAGTGGAGCAGGACGTCACACCAACCAATGGCTGCGTGGCATTAGGAATTCGCCTCCCGCACACAGAGTATGAGCTCTTCCGGATGGAGCAGGACACTCATGGACGCTACCTACTCTACAATGGCCAGAGGCCCAGCGACGGCTCCAGCCCTGACCGGCCAGAGAAACGAGCTACTTCCTACCAGATGCCCCTGGTGCAGTGCTCCGCCAGCAGCCAAAGGCCAGAGGTCACCTTGGGCCACCATGCAGACCGGCCCCGAAAGCCAAGTAACGGTAGCTGGGGTGGTGCCCATGGCTCCATAGTGCAAGCTGTGGCACTTGTAGTATTGAATGTGCTGGTTATGGAATTATGTGGTTGACTGAAAAAAAAAGAAGCCAACAAAACTGTCCTGTTATTTCTGTACATCTCTGTACATACTGACGCAGAAATGGCCAGAGAAGCTCAGGGAAGCACTCTGGCCGACTGAGAGGAAGTTTACTTGACGCACTTGGGCATTCAGCTCTTTCATTTTCCTGGGCTCTGGCCTACAGAAGCTGGATGAAAAGGAAATGGATAAAGGAGTGGAAAGACGAAGTCTGCCTTCTTTCATTTCTTGCTCTGCTCTGAACTGCTACCAGACTCCAGCGAACTGAAACTGCTGCACCACATTAATGGCACTTTAGTAAAATATGACTTAAAACTTACAATTTTGATTAAAACAAAAAACGTGTTCATTTTCTACGCCAGGCTCAGACAAGAGGATTTCCTGCTTATTTTCTTGTTTTGTAAGATGAAGCTATATACTGTAGACATACACACTAACAGAGGTATTTTTCTACAATGTGTGGAGTGAGGAAGTGTGAGTGGATTTTAAATGACAAAATGAACTATTTCAGGGCTATAAGAAGAGAACAAAAGGGAATTTCAATACATCATATTCCAGTACATAACCACTGATAAATCTTTTAAGCGAAATAAACTAAGACAGAAAAAAAAGAACTTTTGTTTCTATAACTGATCTGAAAGAAGAGGGATCTTCATAAACCTGTAAGGTGCGATTGTTAATGCTTGCTTAGAATCCAGGCGTGTGGGGTGAGTGTGTGCAGAATAGTGCCAGTTTTGATTTCCTGACAGTTTCTTTCACGTGTGCTGTAAGCTATCATTTTTGCTTGCTGTATTGTGCTATGGCATGTGGAATAATTCAAAGCAATTGTGGTTTCATACAGCCCACCAGGAATTGCTGTTCTCTATGCCAGTCCTAGTTTGATCCAGAGCTGAACTGGAATGGAAATATTCATTTCCTCCAGTGGCGTGGATTCTATTTCCAATGCGCAAAAACCAAACACGAAGAATAAAACGCTGTATTTGTTTGAGGCAAATGTTTTCAGACGGTATTTGCGTGTTCTTTGTTGCATTAGAATATTATGGTGTTACTAAAGCCTGTGTAGACCCAGAGCTGGACAACGTGTCTCATTACCAGTGCCTTAAAGACAGTGTCCTGAAAACTGGATTGAACATAAATGACTGAAGAACAGAAATTAAATATTTGAAGATGTTGTATGCAATGAGTCTTGTATTTATGTTAATCACAATATTATACAGAAAAAAAACAATAACCAATCAACAATAGCCTTAAAATCAACTAGCCTATGCGCATATTGTGTACTCACACTCGCAGACATGACATTTGCCTTTTACTTCACTATCTTCAAGAACATTTTCCTTTGGCTGACTCCATCCCAATTCCTGCTGTTTCAAAATCAAATGCAAACCCACAAAAAGGCCAGGGTCTGGATTCATACGTTCACTTAAAAAAAAAAAAAATAATAATAATAATAATTTTACTTGATACTTAAGAGAAAACGTTAAGATTAACTGTTGTTCTTTTTCTTCCTCAGGAATTATTATTTCTTAGTTTTCCTTCTCATGAACAATTCTAAGAACAAGTAATATTTAAAATGGCAGCTTCACTGTTAAAACAGACCAAGGAGATTTTTTCCCTCCACTATCAATTCTAGTTCTTAGCTAAAATTTTCAGAAATTTAGCCATAATACTGTTGTACTTCCATCCTGCTGTCCTCAGACGCTGAGAGAACTAAACTGAATAACAAACAACCTTTAATTCAGCTTTAGAATGTACCTCATGTCTTTCCTTTGAGCTGTGAAATGGAACATGATATTGACAGGCTACATGACAAATAACATGCAGTCTACATAAAAAACAAGGTTTTCTTAAGAAAATCTTACTAAAATAACCAAGACTTCAAAAGAATATCTGACTTCTTAGTCTGAACTTAAGAAGGAACTTAAAGTATTTCTTAGAAGAAGAAAGAACATGATTTTGATGCTTGCGGCAAGAAAGAGATCACAAAACACAAAAAGACTCACAGCTGTACAAATTGACTTTTTTCCACTTTTATTATTTATTTCTACAATGTCGAATAGCATGGGACAGGACAGGAGAAGTGTAGACTCGAACTTCAGTCAACATTTGCCTCAAGTAGGGATAAATGCTTTGTATTGAGGAAAAATAAAGAACATTAATAATATTAATAATTATAATAATAATAATAATAATGATAACAGTAATAAAAGTCTGCATTGGTATCGTTAGGGACAGGAAAAAAAGATAAAATGTACAAAAGGAGGCATCTTTGTTCCCAGCCCAACTGTTGACATGGAGAGGCAGCGAGGGGTAGAAATATCTGCCGTTTTTTTTTCCTCCAAAGCCACCCAACGAAAAGGGTCACAAGGTTTATATTTTTGTGTTTGTTTTGATGGAAGTTTCTTGTTCCTTTTCTTAAAAAGGATTAAAATTACATTTACAAGACACCTAACATTCCATTGAACTCTTAATAAAACGAGAAAGAGAGAGTGAGGAGTGGGGGGGAGGGGCGATCAAAAATGTTTACAATACACATTTATAGTCAAATGTCTCGGATGTGCCTTCTCTCGTGTGAGGGTGAATCTCTCTCTCTCTCTGTTTAACTACTTTTGCAATCTTAAGCCACTGCTGTGTAATAAACCTGTTCGACAATTCAACCTTCTGTCCATCACACAAAGAAAAGGAACAAAAAAAAAAAAAGATAGAGAGAGAAGAGAACCTGTCCTATGCTCCCCAACTTTTCTTCTCTCTCCCTCTATCTCTCTTTCTCTCTCTCTCTCTCTCTCTCTTGTGTTGGACAAACCGTGTGTGTGGCTGAAGAAGGTGAGGCCCACGCTATGATGCCACGAAGATGTGCGTGCTGCCGCTGGCCCAACTACCAATGATATGGCAAAGTCAACAGAAAGACATCCTCCTTTCATCCAGGCCGTGTGATCTCTCTCTCTCTCTCTTTCTTTTTCTCTCTGGAACCGGTTGACAGGCAGGCAGACATGTTAAGACATCCCCCCACCCCGATCCATTTACAGGATGAACTTGCCGAGGAAGAATCCGATGAAGATGGCTGCTATGACGACCAGGAGCGAGGGCAAGGAGCTGGTGGTCACCTCTCGGCCAATCAGAGAGCTGGAGTTGGAGGCTATGTGCTCGGGTTGCTGAGCCTTCCTCAATCTCAAGCCATCGTCCTGACAAGAAAAGGGAAATATAGTTATCATAATTTCTTGATACAGAAAACGACTGATTCCAATTTACCTTCTCTAAAATCGGCAGGCATTTGTTGGCAATTGTTACGTATTATGCATGTTGTTATGCATGTATATCTCCACCATGAATTGCATATGAGAATGTTCTAGTATGAAAATACTGGTGGATTCCCCTCAAAGTCTTTTTAAAGAATCGCTCTTTTAATAATAAGGTATTTTGAATTTTTTAAAGACTACACATAATATGTCCAGTTAAGAACATTTAGGTTTTCCTTTTTAAAACTCTGATTAATGGTCAAAATAATCAGGAGATTACTTGATTAAAGTAAAGACTAAAAGGCAAGACTTACACTATCAACTTCCAGAAATTAAGCAGAAATCTAAAAACCTCCTTTGAAAGTCTACAGAGCGGCTGACATGCTAACAAAAATGTCTTTGTGCCAACCAAACCCATCAAATGTTATCGTGTGAGGGCCAATTTCATAAACCACCTTCAAATGTGAATTTCACAGTCCACTTAGTCTGTCAAACATGGTTCTTTGTGAGGGGAAACACGGTTCAGTATCATAAACAGTACCAGAGATAAACAGCTTTGCATACCCGCTGCACTGTGATCTACTCACATATTCCACTCAAACTCACACCAACCCAACAACTGGCATTTCAGTTACTGGTTATTTCAACATCTATTTTTTTAACAAATGTTATTCAAGTTTTAAACATATTATTCAAGTATGCTAATTACAAATACAAATTCAAAAATCGAAAAAAACAATCAATTTCCTAAAAGAATTACAGCATAAAGGCTACAGAATGCGATCATGAATCCAATGCCTGACAGAAAACAGTTGGTCATTCAAGGCAATGAATTCTATTATTTTTTAGTTATACTCTGGACTTTGACACAGTCGTTAGTGGATCTTTTTAACCATTTTAAAACCTGCAGCTACAGATGACGCTTTAGTGCTCGCAGGACTTTCGTTTTGCTTCTGTTTTGCTGTATTCTGGCATAATGAGCAGGACTTTGGGTTTTCAAGTGGTGTCAAAAAACATGGGGGGAAAAAAAAAAAATCAAATGAATCAACAGAATTTGAGTCACTGGGTGTTGTGCCCCCACTTCATACTCAGGAACAGAGATTATAAATCGTCCCTTGTAGAAACAAGATGGCTAACTTTTTTTCCCCTTTGTTGATCTGCTGCTGCTCAAACTGTTAAACAAGTCTGAACTGACTGGTGTAGGATAGCAAAGGAAAAAAAGAACATGTTTAATCACTCTCATTTTCATCATCATTCAAATAATTTGTTAAGTGTTTTTGACAAAGCAGTCTTGTTCAAGCCGTAACAAAAAGGTGCCACTTTTGACATTTTTGGATAAAATGTTTCTGTGGCTGAGATTTTGGTGTATTTCACATACTACAAGTTGGACAATACCTGGTACAAATAGGTTATCTGCTTGTTGAAAAAATTCTTCTATAGCACCACTTGTGGCCATTTTGCTTAATGTGAGATGCAATTTCTTCTGCTCATGTCCCGACATTCTCTGCAGTTCTACACTGCGTGTTCAGTAAAAAACGCATTTTAAAACTACAAGATACAGCGATCAGGCATAACATTAGGCCACCACCTTGATTCTACGCTCACTGTCCATTTTATCAGCTCTGTTTACTATATAGGTGCACTTTGTAGTTCTACAATTACAGACTGTAGTCCATCTGTTTCTCTGCATACTTTGTTAGCCCCCTTTTACCTTGTTCTTCAGTGGTCAGGACCCCCATGCACCCTCACAGAGCAGGTACTATTTGGGTGGTGGATCATTCTCAGCACTGCAGTAACACTGATGTGGTGGTGGTGGTGTGTTGGTGTGTGTTGCGCTGGTCTGAGTGAATCAGACACAGCAGTGCTGCTGGAGTTTTTAAACACCCCAGTGTCACTGCTGGACCACCAATAGTCCACCAACTAAAAATATCCAGCAAACAGCGTCCTGTGGGCAGCGTCCTGTGACCACTGATGAAGGACTAGAGGATGACCAACACAAACTGTGCAGCAGTGGACAGTGAGTGGACACAGTGTTTAAAAACTCCAGCAGCACTGCTGTGTCTGATCCACTCGTACCAGCACAACACACTAACCACCACCACATCAGTGTTACTGCAGTGCTGAGAATGATCCACCACCCAAATAGTACCTGCTCTGTGAGGGTGCATGGGGGTCCTGACCACTGAAGAACAAGGTAAAAGGGGGCTAACAAAGTATGCAGAGAAACAGATGGACTACAGTCTGTAATTGTAGAACTACAAAGTGCACCTATATAGTAAGTGGAGCTGATAAAATGGACAATAATGTTATAATGTTATGCCAACAATACTAAATTGAGTTTGACTATTCACTATGATTAAATTTTAAAAGCCACACCCATCCTTATCATTTACAGACTAAACCGTACCTTCAGCTGCCTGTTCTCCTCCTGCAGCTTGCCCACTTCTGTCTGCAGCCTCTTGCACTCTTCCAGAACCTTCTTCATCTCCGTGTCGTCCAGGGCAGCACTGGCTGGCTTTGCTGCTACTGGCCCGTCCACCTTGGAGGAGTTGAGCACTGGCGCTGCCTTGCTGACTGTGTCCACGTCGTTCTGCAATTACATTAAAACCACAGCATTAGGCGCATCATCCAAAGCTGCACAAAAACATGGAGACGCAATCGTTTAGGACTCATTTCACAGTTGTGTTCTTAACAGCCTAAAACACTTGGGAGGGGAGAAATGCCTGCTTAAACAATATTCAGGGTGTTATTGGGCCAAAACG